AAAAAAAAAATGAGGCTTTCTTAATAGCTTAGATTTATGCCAAATACATCATTGAATTTTACTTCAATAATACAAATTTTGCTCTAACAAAGGTTAAATAATTGACTGAAAAAAAAAAAGGAGTTTATTGTGTAAATTACTGTTTTGTATTGATCAAAAAAATGCACATATAAAAATAGGTTAGTTTTTTTTCCTTCATTCAAATCTATTTTCATTCTCATCACTCTTTGCAACCATTTATCCAAAACTGTAATCTTATTTGGTTTTTAAAAAAAAAAAAAGTAGTTTTTTTTTTCAAATGCTGCAAATATTTTTTATAGTTTGTTTCTTTTTTTTTTTTTGGTAGATTATTTAAGATATTTTGTAGACGTAACTGAGTAGAAAAAAAAAAAAAAAAAGTAAATTTGTACCTTGGTAAACTAATTTTGCACTCTTTGTATAGAGGAGAACAAATTTTTTTTTTTTTGTTGTTGTGCTGTGTATACAGTGAACATTGACCGAAAAAAAAAAAAAAAGACGAGTGAAAAGTCGACTCAATTTTTTATTGAAAGATAAATAGATGTTCATAATAAAATATTTTATGGGTTGTTTTTTTTTTTGCTATTAATATACACAGTCATTGTCGTGAATTTTTCTCTTCTTTTAACTGACCTTAATAGAAAAAATTTGAAATATATCTGATTAAATGTCACTGCTATCACAAATGATAATTACTCAAAAAAAAACGATTGTTTTTCTTGCTTTGATAACATTTTAACAGTCATTTATAATTGCTGTGTACTATTTTTGTTGTTGTTTTTGTTGTTGTTAAACTGCTAAATTAGGCATAGTAAAAGAGTTGTTATATTTGAAAAGCAAAAATTTTTTCTTCCTCTTTCAGCTAATATTTTTCCTGTTTTTTTCCAACCTAAACACTTAATTTATAAGCTGAAAGTGTTAAACATTCACTGTAGTGATTCTTCTTTGGCAATAATTTATTTGATAGACTCTATAGAAATAAATATAGAAAGATCAATGTTAACACATCTGCCAATGCGTTTAGCAGTAACCTATATTTTTTGTCAGTTTTTTTTTCACTCCTTTACTTTTTTTTTTGTAGATCTTTTCAACGATGTTTAATGTGTTGCCTATAACTGTGTGGTTTATCTGTGATGTAATTTGTAGCTTTTTTTTTTTTTTTTGCTTAAATTTTTTTCAAAACTTTTACATCTTAAGGCTGCCAAATAGTTGAAGACAATAGTCGGCGGATATTGATGTATTTCTTTTAATAACGGGAATTATATAAAAGGGGTAAGAAATAAACTGGACAATAAAATATTTGCAAACCTAACAGATGCCCAGTTGTTTATTGGCCTTAAAAGTGTCGAATGTTGTCATCGTTGTTGATAACTTACCAACAAAATACCTGTCCACTGTATTTCTTCTTTCGTTTCTATGTGCGTTTTCATTTTGCTAAGGGTTTGGAATTTGAACCGTGACTGGGTTCTTAACAATTTCACGTTTGTACACAAATGAACAGTTAAAATACTGAGTAAAAAAGAAAAAAGCGAAAATGTTGTTTATACAAATACATAAAAATATAAAAATTAGAAATAAAGCTGAAAGTAAAAGCTTTAAAATTATTTTAATTAGTGAAGTAAAAAAAAAAAAAACAAGACAAGACAGGAAAAAAAAAAGAAATTTCTCCTTTTCACTCTGTTTTATTTCCTTTTTTTTCCTCTAACCAAGATCAATACTTTATTAAAAAAAAAAAAAAAAACAAAATATGTTGCATTGTCAGCGAAAAAATTGTTACCACTGTACACCTTATTGTCAATAAAAAAATACTTTGTTTTTTACTCTCTTCTGCTTTTTTTATTTTCCTTTGTACCTCACCATCTCCCGTCAAGTTTTTTTTGGTGCTATCTCAGCGTTACTGTTAATAAAGCTGAGTTGAAAAAAAAGCATAGAATAGAAAGAGAAGGAAAGCTTTAAAATAAAAGAAGAGAAATAAGAAAGAAAAAATTTTGTTCTATTAGTATACCTTTTGACAAACAACTGTGAAATTTGAGATAGACGTTAAAAAGTTTACTTTTTTTTCCGCTTCCCCCTCCCTCCCTTCCTGCTCCGGTTACTGTTAATACTTTCTTAGACGTTAAGTTGATCAAACTGCTGCTGCTGTTAGAGCAGGTTTAGTATTGCTGTGTCTGTACTATAATCTACCACTCAAAGCTGTTGGATTATTGGCTTCTAAATTCGTTTCTTTTGTGCCTACAAAAAAGTTGATGAAACTGAAGTGGTGGTAAACTGTTCAAATTTCTTGGACTGAAGATAACATCATCGTACAAAATCTTTAGTGCAATCTTTTTTTTTATCAACATATTTCTTGGATATATCGTTTCCAAAGATATATTATCGTTTTTTTTTTTTCCTTAAACAATGATATCTCATTGCGGTTTTTGGTGCACCTGAAATATCGCTTTTGGCAATTACTATTTCTTTTTGTCGTTCTTTAATCGGTGTGTTTAGAGGAAAAAAAAAGTATAGCATTGACATTTGTTGCACGACGACTGTTCAATAACATTGGTGTTATTTGCACGACTGCAAAAAGGAAAAAAAGAATATTTCATTTGTCAATAATATTCATTAATTTGCAGGTGTATAATGCGTTGGAAGATTTAGCTGAACAACAACAATGATCACCTCTTGCAACATCAATGCACCATTGTCGTTACAGAGTTGCTGTGTTCGATATTTTGCGCTGAATTCAAAATTTAATTTGCTCGTTGTTGAAAAATTACTGCCAACCGAATTGGTGTACAAAATTTTGCGCTTACGCGATGAACTAAAAATATGTTTAAACTGCTACTTGTTACATCATTTTGCAAAAGGAATTTGTAACTTTCGGACTGTGGACATTGTCATCAACGATCGATGTACTGTTGACTGGAAAAATACGACAAGAAAATTTCTACAAAATTTTGAGAACGAACAAGCATTTAGATTTGCGGCCGCCAACGCCCTTGAAAAGGTTATTTACTAAGAAATGGAAACAAGAAAAAATGGATAAGATTGAATCAAAACTTTTAAACTTTATAGTATACCAAAATTTGATCAGTGAGTAAAAAGTAATTAAGAAAAATGGAATCAATAATTTATTGACGTGTTTAGAGTTTAGGAGTTAAGTGGAGACAAAAACTTGGCATTCTTTTTACAATGCCATCAAAAATTGTTTTAACCAAATCCCATTGACCGGTTAAGATTGTATCAGTGAACTATATGCTTTTCCTTCGTCGTTCCCTACCTCCTTAACTTCCCTTCTTCTCTTCCTCTCCATCAGCATTTGCAAAATATTTTAGCACTTTCCAACTAAATAATAAACTGAATGCCAAAAGTTCTTAAAATACTGTTCTTACAACCTAATGTTTGATTGTTGGTGCTATGAGGCTGGTAATATACACTGTATATATCAGTAGTACATGTATCATATTTCTTTTTTTTTTTTTTTCTGAATATGTATTTAGGAATGTTCTTTGATTTGGGAAACATTTGATGAAAAAACCAAAGGCTACTTTGTCGCATCCGTAGATTCGCCAATGTCACTGTTCAATGCTTCGGTCAGTATAGCAGTATGTGAACAAACTGGCGAAACTAGTGCAAATTTTGCTGAAGACGTCGTTTGGGAGTCGCTCTACAGCGGGAATCCGTATGCGTTAAATTACTGGATTCAGAAATTACCGAAAGGAGGTTGTCGTGTAGATATTTTTCATCTTTTAAGTCAAGTAATTTCTGAGAAGCATTATCATATGATTGATACGATTTGTGATGGCTTTCTTAGCGGAAAATTATTGCCACCACAAAATGACAAAGATGTGTCAAGTGCAACATATTTGTTGGCATTTTGTCCGTTTCAATGGCAACCCAAAGCAGAAAGGTTGTCGTCAGTACTGTATTCCTTAGCGGGTAAATGAGCAAATCTGAAGATAGATTAGACGGTTATTACAAAATTTGGCGTTAGAATCTTGGTTTTAGTTCTTCTTAAACAATTAGTTACCAGTAGGATAGATATTATGAGAGAAACATAAGCTGTCACTGTATTGTCTGTAAACCGTTGCCTTGAAACGGCTATCAAAATGTCGTTCTGACTTATTACCCTGTTGATAATGCGTGACTAATTACTGATAATTGGGATATATGTATTATAGTTGAACAAAACTCTTTGCTGCTAATATCAAATAAAAATGTTTATAGAAAATTTGCAAATCCATTCCAAAGTTACCCTTTGCTGCTGTACCAACAGCAGTTCTCATATTTCGGAGAATTCTTGTTACCAAAATTTTATCCACTAATGGTCTCAACAGTTTCGTAAGCGGAACAACAAGTGAGCCACCACCGGTCAATAAGGGTGTGTGACTAACTGAATTATGAAATTTGACTATTTTTGAAAACGCCAATGCACTTCAACCAAAGAGAAGATTGAAGCATATTGCTTGTTTACGGTAAGCTGTAAGAATCAGAGAAACCATTGTGTAGTGTATTTGCTCGACCTTTATCTTAATGCATCAACAAAAAAAGAAATTTCTTGAAGCTGGCACATGGTTTTTGCTTTTCACTTAGTCTAGCATTCGGACTGCCGTTTCCTTCACCAACATTACCCATCTTCACCAACTCAAATTACGTTTACAAAGCAGTAATAAGCACTTTTAGAAATCAGCGGGATAAAAGAACCTTACCTATCATTATTACATACTGAAAATCAACAAAAAAAGTAACAAGTCGTTTGATTTAAGTTAAACATAACTGAATGGTTCTAATTAAAAATCAGTCTTGTGACAAGCGTAGCTCATTTTATATGTCAACATAAGAAAATCTGGACTGCAAAGTGTCACCCTAAGTATATTGAGCGTTAAATCCAAGTCTGAAATAGAACAGAATCTTCTATTCTTACTTAACGGACTACAAAGAAAATCCATTTGCAAATGTCGTACCTCGTTGCAAATCACTGCTAACCGTTAAGCCAGCCTTCCATTACAACTCATGTTATTTGCAACCTACCCAAATATCTCAGTTGCAGTTGCTTTTAATATGCCATTTACAAATGATGATATGTAGTCAAAATAGAAGCTACAAATTTCAGATTTCTGTGTTCAACATCGTCTCTCTGCAGGCTTCTATGCCCTACACAAAGTAGCAGTCAGCACCTCAGATACCGAACAGACAAACCAAAAAAATGCTTCTGAGGCAAAGTATATCACTTTAAATGTCGTTTTAACATAATTGCCTGCTTCTTACGACTAAACAATAAATAAATTTCATTCAACAGCAAATTTGATATAGGTAGTAGACCCAATAGCACTAACAGCAGTTCGTAATTGCCTTCCACAATAAATCTTTTCCCCTCAAAACAACTGTCCCAGACTGTTATAATCACAGCAACAGGTACTGCACCTCTAATTACTTGCAAATAAGGCAACAGAAACAACACAGCTCGCCTCCGCAACACTACACCGATTGGCGTCCCAAGGCAAAAAAACTAAAAAAAACTTTCTATGCCAATATCTCCAAAAAACACAGTCATCCAGAACCCATAACAACTTCTCATAAGTTGTCATAGGTTCTGGATGACTGTTTTTCAGAGATTTCTTTGCAAAAACTTGCAACACTCAACGCCATCAATACTACTGCAGCAGATAGAATTCTCCTACAACAAAAATGGCTTTGGAACATCAATTATTTTTGCTGCCAATAACTGTCAACCCAATCAGCTAATTTACTGTTGTCTAAATTAATGTTGCAGTGAAGCAGTATATGAAAAACAGACCGACAACTTTATCCTCAACTATGTTTAAAATTTTTCACAAAAAAAAAAAATTGGTTCTTAAAACATATGTCAATATATCAAAGGAAAATAAATTTATTAAGAAAGTTTCGACTTCCAAAACGAAGCCACACAAACAATTTTATATACATAAAAAAATATAGAGGGAAAAAACTTAGTTCAGCAGCTCATATAAATATTATTAGCAAAATTTAATAAATTATTCTATATTAGCTGCTTACAAAAGATTCCGAAACGAAAACCTTACAATATCTCAAAAATTTTGCTAATAACAGTAATTATATACAAAGATAATACAGAAATAATACAAAAGACGGAATTAATACAGAACACAGATAAACGTTTAACTTGTCAAATGCAGTTGTCTACACACGCAGCTTACAACAGCTCCTCCCCAAATCTAAAATGATCCTCTACCAATAAACACTATCTCAATTGAAACATCACCTTTCATCACTAATTTTCATCATAAACTAAGCCACTAACCCGTATGCACACTTCGTTCACCTCTAGTACGGTTCCGTAGCAGATGCAAGTTACTTCACAACTCCTAATTTGAGATTTATCTGCTGGGAGTGGCTTGCATTACTAGTTCAAACCAAAAATGTAACACTCCTCTGAAACTCCTAATCCACGTATTTCTTTTAACTCTAATTATTTCAATAATTACATAAAAAGGATTCACAAGAAAGATTATGAACTGCAAAAAACTACTATACATTACTCGCAAAAGAGACAAGAACTAATCGTCCTTTAGTGAAAGAAAGGCCAAACAGAAGTGCCAATTACTAAAAGCTTCTGTAGAAACTTGGCAACATTACTGATTTAGCAATAACGTAACAACAGCTGAAGAGTGTTTCAATTATAAAAATCCAACCGAAAGCTTCATGATTTGACAAAAGCCATTTCCTGAGCATTTACTTATACCAAATTAAGAAGCCTTAAACCCCTAAAACTTCTAGAAAACGAAAAGAAAACACATCTTGTAGTATTTTTAAAGGCGAACAGAGTTAAAACGTGGAGACGGATTGATATAACGAATAACATGAAAGTTACAAGCCAGAGGAATTCTGGTGCGCCAGAATCGTATGAGACTATGTAAATGTTTTCAAGGTATGCAAGTAAGCAACATATGTGCACATCCAGATCTGACAAGTTGTAAAAGTCACGGATACACAAACCACTACGGTATCATGATAGATTATTTATGCCTAAACCAACCACTGGTACATCAACCTTTGTCAGATTGCCGCTAACAATTCGCTCTGTGATGAGCTTTCCACTATCGTATTCAAATGCGTATCCATTGATTCCATAGACTCCTAGAATAACCAAAATTTAGGATCCGTCAAGCTTTAAGAGGAAATCTGAATATTAAATACTAAAAAAATACCTCGTTACAGCTCATGGACCGCAACTTCAAGAGATCACTATCGTTGTTAGCATTAACATTTCGATCACATTTAGACGGCTGCCTGGACGGAGAACAAGATGCGTCTGGAGATGGGGCAAACGCTGAAGATCCCGAGGAGGACGGACACGCTTGAGAGTGGTTACCATTTGGGTCCGCCGCGCCGTTGCTAAAAAAACTTCTTACTATATTCAAAAGTACCGTACAGCTATTGAAATAATTTGTCTATAATTGCTCTAAAAAATACTAAAAGCAAACGAATACTGTACCTTTCGACACTTGTCGTCGTCTCACCGCCAGAGGAACGTGCCGAAGCTGTGCTATCGTTAGAAACAGTCGAAGTCCAAGACTGTGGCCTCTGCGTCCGTTTTATCTTTTCAGCCAAGCACTCACCGGTAATTCTAGAACGCAGGTTTCAATACAGCTGTCGAAAACGCAAG